CTTGCTCAGGCTGGTTTCGAACTCCTCAGCTCAAACAATCCGCCCGCCTCGGCCTCCCAGAGTGCTAGGATTACAGGCGTGAGCCACCGCGCCCGGCCCTTTACTTTACTCTTAGTGGTGGTGGGATCTGGGTGTCTCCCCATGAAATCTGTACTTTGAACTTAAGGTGTAATTTCAGGCTTAACTTCCTGATATGTGCAAATCAGAGCTAGACAGCTCACCACCCTGGTGACAATAACACACCTCTCTTATTTCTGGATAGGGTGTTAATGTGATGATCAGAATAGGTTTCTTTCAACTAAGCCTTTAGAAATGATTATGAATGGTGTGCTTAAGAGCCAAGCTATTAATAGTTTTCACAAACAATAGAACCTACAGATAGGCAAAGACTAACATGACCTGCAGAGCGTGCAGTCCTCTGCCCGCAGGGGCAGGCTGTATAGACACTGGTCCAAGCCCGGGCAGCCTAGCCCAAGAGTCTCTGGTGGCTCCGGGAATAGGAAAGAGAGCCCAGGAGCTGTTCATTAAGCAGGTGGGTGGGGGAAGGAGAGCAACCTGGCACCATTCACTTCAGAGAAGGGGCAGGTCGCTTTCCAGCCAGAAAGACCTGTCAACCTCCAGCACCCAGGAAAGGGGAGGAATCACCACGTGCCTTCCTTAAAACGTGACACTTGGATAATCAACTCTGAGGAGCTTAAAACTTCATAAGGACATTAAATTCTTTTCAATGAAATCTATATATTGCCATAATTACACAGTTTCCTAAAATCCTTTCTGTGAATTTTAAGTGTCTTGGAAATAATTTCCAAGACTATCCTTTAGCTATGAAAAGAAGGCATCGAGTCTGTGCTTCTCTCAAGGCTTCCTGTGTTTATAAGTGTAATTGTGACGATCACATTAACTTACCTGTGTCTCCAGCATTCCCAGCGGGAGCTCCCTGGGTAGATTTGGCCAACTGCTTAATGGGTTTCTTCCAGTTTTAAAGAGAAATAAAGTTTTTTCATTTGCATCCAACTTTAACTATTTTGATGATTAAAAATCCAGCTGGATAGAGGAGATCCTGTTTTGGATGAGGAATTTCAGCGACTCAAGACAGAAGTTAACCATAAACGGGTGGTTCGTGATCTAGCAGAGGTGGGTAACTTTCCTTTATTTGGAATCTAATTATTGGCAGCTCTTTAAATGCTTATATTTAAAAATGCTAAAAATTTTATGGAAATCCTTTTACTGAGAGATATTTAATAATTTTTAATATGCTCACATTTTCAGAGTGGTTTTTTTTTTACCATGTTTTAACAAGTACAGCGTCAAAACTTGTGAATGTTTCTCTTGACATTAACAGCATGACATACTCTGCTCCACCTTTCCACCCCTCTACTTTCTCATTTTTTGGTCTCCTTTTTTGTTCCCCTTCGCTCTCTGAGCCCCTGCCTGCAGGTCCTCAAGGTGGCTCCTGGACCTCTGTTCACTCCCCCTTCCGTTGGTAGAAAGGATACAAAACCAGAAGTCAGAAGCCAGAGTCCTGGTCCCAGCTCCATGACAGATATGGGACCTGGGACAGGCCTCTTAGCTGTGATCCCTTAGTGTCCTCAAATGTGAAATGGAGACAGTAGCCCCTCCACCTGCGTCTCCTCTGTCATGTAATAGTTTCTGGCTCAAACTCCAATTTTCAATTTTAACAATGAAAAAAATTCTTCCTAATCTCCCCGTCTCTATCATTCTCACTTTTCTTTGCTGAGTTTGCCGTATCTGAATTATGTTCCCCTACATTTAATCTGGCCACAGTCTTGCCAATAGCTCTTCTGCAAGGCCGTCCTGGAGTCCAGACTTCCTGTCTCACCCAGGCCTAATCCAATAGGTTTTTTGTTCATATACCTGCTCCTCCTCCCTCTCCTCTGCAGCTCGCTGCAAACGCCAGTGTAAGACTCACGCATTTCTGATGCCTTTGTCTTCATGTTGTTTCCCCGTCAAGAACATTCAATGCCTGAGGCTCTGGCTGACCTCACTACACCCCCGGGCCCCCTTTCCTCCTCAGCATTTACTGACCATGAGCACCGGTGACCAGGGCGTGCAGGGCTGAACTAAGCTGTCCTCCTTTCCAGCCGGGGGATCAGCTTACTCTCAATTCTGGATGTAGCGCCAGCGCCTACCACGTGGGATTGATTTCTCTGGGACTTTCTTCTTCTTCTTTGGGCTCGCATGTGTTTGCTTGAGCTTATCTAACTAGACTATAAGTTTCTTAAACCCAAATCTTGTCTTTCGCTTTTGGCCCCCAACTCAAGTAGTATTTATTCCCTGTAATGCTGTGTACACTGAAAGTGCTTAATAAATGCTAACTAAATGGCAGAACAAATAAGTAATAACTTGATTTTGGTTAAAATTCTAAAACATTTTTATTAAATGCCAGGAGTTAAATAGTATTAAATTCCAGGAGTTAAAATTTAAATGTAAGATGTGCCTATATTTTATATTCACAGAAAATCAAGGAATTTCATCCTAATTTTGATCCACTCATTAATAATTCCTGGGTCAACAGGTTCAGGGCACAAAGACGGTTTCAACAAGTAGCACGCAAGGTACGTCTCAGCACCAGATCGAAATTTTGATTTGTTTGGTCATCAGCACAGGAAATCAAGCAATGGGTTTTTTATAACATATTTATTGAGATACAATTCACAGCCCATAAAATTCACCCTTGTAAAGTGCACAGTTTACTAGTTGTTAGTGTATTCAGAATTGGGAAGCCATCACCACTATCTAATTTTAGAACATTTTTATCACCTCAAAAAGAAACTCAGTACCCATTAGCAGTCACTCCCCACCTCTCCTTCTCCCAGCCCTGGCAACAACGAATCTACTTGCTGTCTCTATGGATTTGCCTGGACAAATCTGGACATTTTATATAAATGGAATCATACAATAAGTGGCCTTTTTAAAAAAAATTAATTTTTAAATTTATAATCCACACATAATAATTGTATATATTGGGGACAGTGTGATGTTTCAATGCATGTACACATTGTATAATGACCGAACCAGGGTAATTGCCATATCCATCACTTTAAACCTGCGGTCAAGTGGGGCGGCAGGTGCCTCTAGTCCCAGCTACTCTAGCGGGTGAGGATCACTTCAGTCCAGGAATTCTGCACCATAGTGCGCTATGCCGATCAGGTGTCCACACTATGTTCGACATCAATATGGTGACCTCCCAGGTGCAGGGACCACCAGCTTGCCTAAGGAGAGGTGAATTGACCCACATCAGGAGTGGAGCAGGTCAGAACTCCTGTGCCGATCAGCAGTGGATTGCGCCTGTGAGTAGCCACTGCACTCCAGCCCAGGCAACATAGCCAGATCTTGTCTCTAAAAAAATTAAAAATTAAAAAAAAACCAACACGTGGCCTTTTGTAACTGGCTTTTTTCTGTTAACATATCTTCAAGGTTTGTCCATGTTTTAGCATCTGTCAGTACTTCATTCCTCTTTATGGCTGAATAATAGTCTATTGTTTGGATAGACTACATATTCTTTAACTTCAGTTGATCAATGTTTCGGTTGTTTTCACCTTTTGGCTACTACAAATAATGCTGCTATGAATATTTGTGTACAAGTTTGTGGACATATGTCTTCAATTCTCTTGGGTATATGTACCTAGGAGTGGAATTGTTCTCTACAACAATGGGATATTGATCAGTTACTTCTAGAGAGAACAATTGAGAATTCCTGGGGGATATTTTCCTTAACATCCAAGCTCATGGTTTGCCCCTCAAAGGTGTCATCTCCCTGTCCTGGCTTCCTCACCCTCATGCTGCTCTTCCACCGAGCACATTTCTAGCCTCCAGTGCCTTCCTGTTATCAGGATAAAATGAAGACTTGTGAGCCTCTAATGCCAGTAGGGGTGTAAGGAACCCCCACGTCTGGCTGTAGCCATACCTCTCCAGCTTCCCACCGTCCTCTACATCAGCGGTCCCCAACCTTTGTGGCACCAGGGTCTGGCTTCATGGAAGACAATTTTTCCACGAGGGTTAGGGGAGGAGGGAAGGCGGAGCTCAGGTGGTGATGTGAGCAATGGGGAGCGGCTGTAAATACAGATGAAGCTTTGCTTGCTCACCCACCGCTCACCTCCTGCTGTGTGGCCCAGTTCTAATGCGCCACGAACCTATCCCAGTGCTGGGCCCAGGGGTTGGGGACTGAAGCTCTACGTTGTCCCAGTCCTGATCTTCTTCCAGACACATCATTCTCGTTCCCTACCACCAACCTGTGTTTCTGCTCCTCGCCCTCCAACTAAAATGCATCTCCATCTCCACTCCATGGGCTCATGTGTGTCCTTTGCGCCAGCTCAAGTCTGCTTTTCCTGTAAGAAACAATCCTGCCAAGCTTTAGCACTCAGGGATCTCCTCAGTGCCTTTTGCATCTTATGCTGCCTACAGATCTCTCAACCATGCCACTCGAGTACGGCTCCCCCGGTTGGCAGGGCCATGCCTTGAGCAGCGGTTAAGACCTGGGCTCTGGAGCCAGACTGCCTGCACCAATTTCTGCTGCTGCTTCCTAGGAGCTTTCTGATCTGAACGAGTTACATAACCTCTGTGCCTTAGTTTCCTCATGCGAACACTGAAGATAATAGTAATAAGACCTGTCTCACAGTGTTGTGAGGATTAAATGAGTGAATATGTGTAAAGGACTCCAAAAGTTGATGTTACAGCTTGTCTTTCAGGTGGTCCTCTCAGCCTGGACTGGTGACCGTCTAGGTGGAGGGGGGCAGAGTTCACTGCATCAGGCCACGTACTTACCAGCCTCCAAGGCCCTGTAGAGCCAGTGTCCCTGGGCGGTCTCTGCATATGTGCAGAGCAGGAGCAGCCACAAGATGCTTGCCTCAAGGAAGAAAGCCGTAGAAAGAGGCAGTACACAGCTGTGCTCAGAGAGAGGAAAGCATGGCCGTTGACAATGGGCGGACAACAGCAAGAGACTGGCCAGGCTGGCGTGCCACTAGTGAGGCCACCTTAGCACTTCTACAGCAAGCCCCCGGCTTGAAAAGAGGGGTGTCAGCAGTGACTTGCTTTGTTCCAAGTGATGACTCAGGTCTTCCTCGCACTCCACAGCAAGTGCTGTCGGTTTTATGTGCCAATATGCCCCCAGCCTCGTGACTTCTTGCCATCTCCCCAGCTATAGCCACAGCCCAGCCCCCCAGCACCTCTTGCCTGGACCACTGCCATGGGGGTCCCTGCTTCCAGTCCCCGCACGGCAGCCAGAGTAGTATCTGAAAAGCTTACAGATGACAGTCCCCCTCCCCTGCCAAACCCCGAAAGACTTCCCATCACAATTAGAATTCAATGCACAATTTTTATCAAGGCTACCATGGCACACTGGACCTCTATCTGTCCCCCTAGACATGTCTCCTTTGTTCCTGCATCAGGATCTTTGTGCTGGCTGGCTCCTATGCTCAGAACTCTCCTGCCAAGATCTCTATATCATTGTCCCCTCGTCATTTAAATCTTACTTCGAACCTCACCTCCCAGTGGCCTTCCCTCATTATCCTTGCGTGCGTGGGCAGAGCCCCCCCTTCCAGCCCTTCAGTCGTACCCTCTCGCATTTGCTCCATTTTGTTTTCTTCATGCCATTTATCTTGTTTGTTCGTGTAGGTTTTTATCGTCCTCTCGCCCCAGCTCCCCACGAACACCCTTGGCGTGTGAGCTCTGTGCAGGCAGGATGTTTATTTGCCCCTCGCTGTATCTCTGGTGTCTGGGATGGAGCTGAGCACAGAGTAACTGCTTCATAATACTTGTTAAGTGAAAGAGCCCTTCACAGAAGTGAAGTGGAGAGAAGTGCCCTGGGGACAGGAGCACTCCCGGGCAGTAGCATCCCCTCCGACTGCAAAGCCCGCTGGTACGCAGTTGGCATTGCCCACAATCCACTGCCCTATTGCTACAGAATCACCCATGTAGTTTGTCCTTCAACTCTGAAAATAGCACAGCAGTTGCATTACTATTCAGATATATCTAGAAGAAAGGATGTGGAACTAGTCATTCTTTCCACTCCGAAATTATGAGAAAATCCAGCCTCATAAATTGGGTGGGACAAGGCCAGATGACAACCTGGTCTTTTTTGTATTCAGGCAAATCAACATTGCCCAGACCTTGACGTGCCCGTGGCCTCGTTCTAGGGCAGCGTGCCATTCTCCCTGTGAATTCTGATTTACAGTGGTTGTCTCAGCCCTTGGTTGTGGTCAAGGAAAGTGAATTAGCTTGAATACCAAAATGAGCACGTATCAATTAATAATTTGAAATCATTACACTTTCCAATTCCAGGTCATCATTCAGCGACGATTACACAATATGCTGACTGCTATTCGTAAAATAGGCAGACAGAGTGTAATGAAAAAGATCAGTCAAGCAAAAGAGTCACCAGAACAAGGTAAAGTGTGGCTGCAATGTACAGCGATGCTGAGACTGGTCGCTCCTCTGAGAGTGAGGTTTCTTTATAATGAACGTAGCTATATAATGAACGTACCTATGCAGGAATAAAGTGTGCTCATAAACTGCACGTATTGGTTTCCTACTGCGACTGTAACAAATCAACACAAACTTCACGGGTTAAAACAACACGGATTTGTTATCTTGCAGTTCTGGAGGTCAGAGGGCTGCGTTCCCTCTGGAGTCCCAGGGAAAGCCCGTTTCCTTGCCCTTTCCTGCTTCTGAGTCCACCTGCACTCCTTGGCCCCAGGCCCCTTGGCCACCACTCTAACCTCTGGCTTCAGTCGTCCCATCTCCTTCTCTGACTCCGACGCTCCTCTCTCCCTCTTATGCACAGGGGCTGCCTGGAGAATCCAGAATAATCTCCCCAGCTCAAGATCCTTAACTTAATCACATCTGCAGAGTCCCTTTTACTGTGGAAGGTAACATATTTGTGGGGCCCAGGGCACAGGATGGAGACACCTTCGGGTGCCTTCATTCAGCCTGTCACGTGACATGAAGCAGATCTCCGTGCCAGGTGTGGCCAGAATTCCTGGACAGCCCCAGACCATGCTGTGATGTCTGTGAAGTTTGGCCATAGTGCGACCTCCTGTTTTGTGCCCTCTGCTTCCTCTTGTCACCAGAGAGACTAGGGCAGTCATCATTTATCCTGATCAATTGGCTGAATCGGGTGTTTTCCCAGCCTGGTATTTGCACATTAAGCTTTATACTCTCTTACTGTCTTTGCTATTTAAAGAAATTCCAGTCCTCTGGTGCCAGGTTGGCTGGGGCAGTTGGAGGCCCACTCTCAGTAGCTTCTGGGAGCCCAAAAGCCATATATGTCACCATCTTCTCACCATATATATATTTGCAATCTGCAGCTCATGTGCAGATGCACAAGCAGGCCCTAATCCTTCCGGACCCTTCTTCCCTCCCTGGCCCAAGCCCCCGACCCTGGCTCAGGCTTCCCCTCCTCCCCGAGCAGCAACCACACTCTTCTCTGCCTTTCCACCACCATCGAGATGTGCATTTTGTTTTTCAAATCATTATATAGCATTTTAATGATGTTTTCCTCCTATATTATTTTTATTTCTGGTATTGAAGTTTCTAATAAAGAAACTCTTCTTTACAAAAAATTGTAAAATTTACCAATGAATTATGTGTGGATATCTGTAAAATGTCTTCGTATACTTCTTTAATTTAACCTTTTTCTTTACTGAATTCATCCAAGATATTATATTTTAATTAGGAAATAGAGTTTTTGGAAGTAAAAATAAAGCAAAATTTTTAAAAATTGGAGAAGAGATTGAGGTAAGTAGCAATGGGAACAGTAAACATAGAAATATATACATATCTACATAAACACAAATACTCTGTTTGAAAAGGCATGTGGCAAACCCCCACTAGTTGGTATATGGCATATATGTAACTATAGATGGTGGTTTCCCATGACAATACCTTGAGAACCCCCTAAAATTCCTGTTTTGTTTGTTACCCGCAGACAAGAATTCCTCTAAATTCCTGCTGCGGTGGGTCAGTCAGGATGATTACTGCAGCCGGTTCTCCGTGTCGCCCAAGGAGGTGCTGCCCTTCGAGTACCCGTCCCACAGTCTTCCTCAGACCTCCAACGACTTGGTAGGTGTCGTCTGGCTGTGAGGCAGGGGGCAGGAAGGGGCAGATGGTGGCTGGGCAGATACCAAGGCAAACCCTGCCTCAGCCTCATCCCTTCACCTCCTCCAAGAGGCACCCAAGGGAGGCCTGTGCCCAAGGAATCATGATCAGTGCTAAACCAGGCAGCATCTCCGGCCGTCTGCCTGGCACCTAACCTGCGCAGAGCTCGCTGGTAACCTGGGCTGGGTCCTTCCCAGCCTGGAACCCAGCATGAACACTGAGCCCCGCCCGACCACCTTGGAACCCCACCTGAGAGCACAAGGGCAGAGAGAAGACCCAAGAGGGCCCAGCCTGGTCTGGGAAGGCAGGTTCTGCTCAGCTGAGCCCTTCTGCTTCCTGGGCAAATAGGGGGCCAGAGAAGGGCAGCCCCTAGGTCGGGGCCTGACCTAGGAAGGAGGGAATATGGCTCCAGAATCTGATAATCTAGCCCATCAGACTCATGAGCCACCTCTGTTTCTTTCTTTCTCTCACTCGTGGCCACAATGATGCATTATAATGAAAATGACAGTTAACCCTACATTGCATTACCACGAGTTAGGCAGCATCTTAAGTGCTTTGGTTGTTTCAGTTGTATCAGCTCATTTAATCTTCAACAAATCTATGTGATAGGGTTATTATTTTACAGATGAGGAAACTGAGGCACAAAGTCACATAGCCAGTAATAAAATGTTGCTCAAGTTCACGCCATTAGTAATAAAAAGTGTGCTTGTCAATATTGTAAGTACACATGCAAGATAATTTTCTTCTTTCTTTATTCTCTCTCTCTTTTTTAATGGATTTAGGGGATATGAGTTGAATTCCGTTATATGTATATATTGTATAATGGTGGAGTCTGGGCATTTGGTGTACCCAACAACCGAGTGGTGTACATTGTACTGCACAGGTTTTTCATCCCTCACTCCCCAATTTCCCCCCTTGGGAGTCTCCAGTGTCCATTATACCACTCTGTGTGCCCTTGTGTGGCCAGAGTTTAGCTCCCACTTATAAGGGAGAACATGAGGCATTTTTCTGTTCCTAAGTTACTTCACTTAGGATAATGGCCTCCAGTTCTATCCAAGTTCCTGCAAAAGATGTTATTTCACTCTTTCTTATCGTTGAGTAGTACTACATATGTACCACTATGTAGTACTATATATGTACCACGTTTTCTTTATCCACTCATCAGTTGATGGGCACTTAGGTTGATTCCATATCTTTGCGATTGTGAGTTGTGCTGTGATAAACATACGAGTGCATCAAAATAACTTTTTAATTTCCAAGAATTAACTTACCACTCACATCCTAAAATATTTGTTAAGTATTGTAGGTTAATATACTTAAGAATTACAGGACTGAATTTAGAAATTCTGTGTTTTCTGCTTTCAATAAATGACTTAAAAGATCAGAACAATTAGTTCCTAGGAAATAATGAATCTGTGATTTTTGAGCAATAGTATTTATTGACTCAGTATTTATCTACTCAGTAATTAATGGGGTGAAGAGGGTGATCGGGTGGGAAGAGATCACTGTGCTGTGGAGCCCACCTCATTAATTTTGAACAGTCCAAAGCTTATACATTTCATTTAATATTTTAGTTAGCGCTACAAAGACTTCTCCACTGCTTAGGGCTGTTGGGAAATGGAGCACTCAGCATTCCTGCCTATTAAAAAAGAATGTATTAATTTATTCCATAAATACTGTATTTCATCACTTCTAACATGCACCTTTTTTTACATTTAGCATCCTTGTAATTGGGAAATGTCTTATAATCGATGGCATATTAACATTTCATCATATTAATTTAATGATGTTGTATTAGATTAGGTGAAGTATGGTATTTATTGAGTGCCTATCATATGCCAGGCACTGTTCCAGGTTCTCTGAATGTCTAGGCAGATTAGCATGTGGGCAGTATATTAGGTAGCGCTTTGGGGATTAGCACCTATGGAAGGCAAGCAGAGGGGACAATTGGACAGAGAGAGAAGTAGGTCTTCAATCCATCTCAACAAAGGCCTTCACTGGGCTGAGGAGGAGCTCTGAAGCTGGCATAAGGTGAGAGGACCTGGCATTTGTACCTTGGCTTCAACTTGTCGTTGGAGGCAGCTGCCCGGGAGGGGCACATGACCTTGACTGAGGCAGCTCCCTTTAGCCAAGGCAATCGCTGAAGAGGGCCGACCCAAGAGTTATTTCTATTCAAAGAACTCCTAGCTGGAGGACTAAGTCCCTCAAGCCTGAAAGGGAGTCTGGGTGACACACTGCGGCTTCCACAACAGTAGGGGAAAAAAAAGACCCCAAAAAACATCTACTAAGAGATGTAGAAAAGGGGATGACCAAGGCGGCCTTCGTACCCCCTAGATCAAGTAGCACCTGTGGTCGTGGGAAGGGTGGCTGCTTTGAGAGCAGAACTGGTCGTTGTTATGTTTCAAAAGATAGTGGAAACAGAAGTATAGCCACTTTTGCTCAGTGTTGATTATCTGTCCTTTTTTTTTTTTGATTTTTCACATTTTAGGCTCCTGATGGCCTTGGACCAGTCCCCATTAAACCTTCAGAAGTTCAAATCAAGCAGGATTATTCTTTCTTCAATTTGCAGGTCAGATCTGTTATATAGCATTAATCAATTGAGTTTCTTATGAAGTGAAAACAAATTCTTGAAGTGGAATTGCATTATTTTATTAATTTTGTTCTATTATGGAATATACCATGTAGCATACTGTGTGGACTTTTCTACTATTATTTTATGGTATGTGGGAGGTACAACAGATTGTTCTTTCCTAATATAGCTTGTGGAAACTAGGGTCTTTACTCTGTGGATATACCATACATTATGCATACAGGAGTGAAGCTATCTAAACTACATATATTAGAAGCTTGAAGAAGAAACACAAGATGAAGTAAACAAAAATCAGTCAGCCTTTCTTGAGGTATATGACCACTGCTGTTTCTGAAAATAAAAATATTTTGTTATATTCTTACAGTTAAGCCATATGGTTGGTCGAGTAATCACGAATGCTTATATGTGCTAAAACCCGAGCAGGGCTCAGGACTTGCGCTAAAGTCTGTCTGGTGCTGGTCCAGATGAGCACTATCTACAGTCTGATGGCTACAACCCGGTGCTTGTTTTACTTTTGCCATCAGGCAGCTCAGAAATGCTGTTGTTCAGAATGGTAACCGGTTTTTAAGGATATTCAATCTTCTTTCACTTCAGGTTCCTCAACAATATAAAATTAAGAGGTATCAGCCATTCTCCATCTACAGATCTTCAACAAGTTACAGACCTCAGAAGCTTGCTCGAGCTCTGAAGCAAGGAGCTGAGGTAACACATCCCACCTTCAAGAATCCCTCTCACTTTTCCCCTCTTATCCCAGCATCAAGACTAACACGCTGCTCTTGGTCCTTGTATAGGATGAAGTCACCACCATCATAGCCCTTCCAAAACAGGACTCCACTTCTGAGCTCTCTGGCAAGACCTCAGTCTTGAGCATGAAACCACCTGAGGCCTTAGCCACGTCTCCAGATTATGATCCGCTTTATATTTTTGTAAGTAACAGTTGGCAAAAGTCTTATGTTCTATGTTCCTTCCAGCAATTACTCTATAAGAAAACAGAAGCATTAGTCTGAAATATTTTTTTCTTTTTGGAATTTCAAGTGTTAAACAATACCTCACCTTTGAAATTATTTGCCGGCATTTATTTTTGGGAGAATACTACTGTTTCTGTCTTTTAACAATTTCTGCATTTTTTAATAAAAATAACTTTATGATCTTTTCTAATTATATATAATATATACATGTAAGCCAAAGAAGAAATCAAAAGAGAAATTAGAAAGTATTCTTAAGCGAATGAAAATGAAAACAAAAAATCTGTGGGAAATTTATAGCACTATACTCCTACATTAGAAAAGAAGAAAGTCTCACGTTAATGTCCTACACGACCCCTTTAAGAAACTAGAAAAAGAAGTGCAGATGAAACCGAACTAAGCAGAGAAAAGAAACAATAAAGATCAGATTGAAAATCAATGAAATAGAAAATAGAAAAACAATAGGTTCTTTGAGAAGATCAATGAAATGGATAAACCTCTATCCCAACAGATCAGGAAAAAAGGTAAAAGATACAAATTACCAATGTGAGGAATGAGAAAGGTGACATCACTAGAGATTCTACAGATATTAAAAAGATAATAAGTTAATATTATAAAAAACTTTTGCCAGTAAATTTGACAACTTAAGTTAAATGTGCAAATTCCTTAAAAAGCACAAACTATGAAATCTTATTCAAGAGGAGACAAATAACCCAAATAGCTCTATATCAAATAAATTGAATTCTGGTTAAAAACCTTCCCATAAAGAAACCTCCAGATTCAGATGCCTTCACTGGGGAATTCTGCCAAACATTTAAAGAAGAAATAATACAAATTTACACAAACTCTTCCAGAAAATGGAAGAGGGGGACTACTTCCCAACTCATTCTAAAAGCTAATGTTACTCTGACATCAAAGTCTGACAGAGATATTGCAGGAGGAGAAAAGAACAGACCAATGTCCTTCATAAACATAGATGTAAAAATTTGTAACAAAATTTTAACAAATCAAATCTATCGGTATGTAAAAATGATAATGTATCATAAGCAAGTAGGAGCTTGTACTAGGAATATAAGATTAGTTTAACATTCAAAGTTCCATATAAGTAGCATATTAACAGACTGAAAAGGAAAAAATCTCAATAGGTACAGAAAAATTATCTGACATATATTACTGACGAACACTCTCAGCGAGTGAGGGATAGAAAGGAACTTTCTCAATCTGATAAAGGGCATCTATTTAAAACCTACATCTAATACCAAATTGAATGATAAATAGATGCCTTTCCCCCTAAGATCAGAAATAAGACAAGGATGTCTGCTCTTTCTAATTCCATTCAAGATTGTAACTATAGCCAATGCAACAAGGCAAGAAAAATATTAGTAAACAAAAGGCACCCAGATTCGAAAACAAGACATAGAACTGTCTTTATTCACAAAATTATTGTCTATATAGAAAATACAATGAAATCTACAAAAAAAAAACAAACTACTAAAACTAAGTGAATTTAGGAAGGTTACAGGACACAGAATCACCATACAAAAATCAATTATATTTCTATATACTAACAACAAACACGCTGAAATTGAAATTTTAAAAGCCATATCACTTAATAATAGCATCAAAAATATGAAACATTAGGGATAAATATGACAAAAAGGTAAAAGACTGATACATTGAAAATCATATAACATTGCTGAGAGGAATCAAAGAAGACCTAAATAAAGGGAGAAATATACCATGTTGGTGGATTGTGATATCTAATATTGTTAAGGGATCAATTCTCTCCAAATTAATCTAAAAACTTAACACAATTTCAATAAAAATCCTAGCAGGTTTTTTTTTCTTTTTGTAGATATTGACAAGCTTATTCTGAAATTTTTATGGAAACTCGGATATATCCAAAACAACTCTGAAAACATAATTGAAGGACTTACACTACCTGATTTTAAAGTTTATTGTGAAGCTAAAATAATCAAGACAGCATGATGTTGGCATAAAAATAAACATATCAATGGAACAGAATAGAGGATACATAAATATATTCATTCATACATCCATGGTCAATTGATTTTTGAAAAAGGTCAAAGATAATTCACTGGAGAAAAGATAATCTTTCAACAAATAGTGCTAGAACATATGGATATCTATTCAACAAAATTAAAATAAGTAAAAATAAAGGAACTTCAACCAGTACCTTTATAAAAATTAATATACACAAGGGATCATAGACCTAAATATAGAACCTAAAACTATAAAACTTCTAGAAAACACATAGGAGAAAATCTTTGTGACCTTGGTTTAGACAAAGATTTCTTAGATACAACACCAAAACCACAATCCATAAATGAAAAAATTATAGATTAATTGGACTTTGTCAAAATCAAGAATTTTGGGTTTCCTAAAGACATTGTTAAGAAAATAAACAGATAAGTCACATACTTGGACAAAATATTTGGAAATCACATCTGATAAAGGACTTGTATCCAGAATATATAAAGAACTCTCAAAACTCACAAAGGAAACAATCAACAGAATGAAAATGTGACCTATGGGATGGAACAAAATATTTGTAAACCATATATCTGACAAGGTGTTAATATCCAAAATATATAAGGAGCTTCTCCAACTCAATAGTAAAAAAACCTAATGACCCAATTTAAAAAGGGGCTAAAGACTTGAATAGACATTTCTCCAAAGAAGACTTACAAATGGCCCACAGGTATGTGAAAAAATGCTCGACATCACTAACCATCAGGAAAATATAAATCAAAACACAATGAGCTCACACCTGTCAGGAAGGCTATTACCAAAAAAACAAGAGACAACAAGTGTTGGAGAAGATGTAGAGAAACTGGGACACTTATACACTGTGGTAGGAAGACAAATTGGTGTGGCCACTATGGAAGATAGTATGGAGGTTCCTCAAAAAATTAAATATAGGACTGCCATATGATCCAGCAATCCATTTATCCAGAAGTATTGAAATCAGGATATCCAAGAGATATTGACACTCCTAGGTTCATTGCAGCACCATTCACAACAGTCAAGATGTGGAAACAACCTAGATGTCCATCCATGGATGAAGGATAAAAAAGTATGGTATACTCAGACAGTGCAATACTATTCAGCTTTTAACAAGAAGGAAATTCTGCAATATGCAACAGCATGGATGAAGCTTGAGAACATTATACTAAGTGAAATGTCAGTCATAGAAAGACAAATACTGTATTATTCCACTTATATAAGGTATTTAACATAGATTCACAGAAATAAAGAGTAGTTGTCAGAGGTTGAGGGAAGGGGGAAGTGGTAAGTTACCAAGCGACTAAGAAACAGCACAAAGTTTCAGTATGGAAAGATAAATAAGCTCTAGCAATCTACTGTACAACATTGTACTTAGCCCAATAATAATGTGCATTTAAAAATGTGTTAAGGGGCCGGGCGCGGTGGCTCACGCTTGTAATCCTAGCACTCTGGGATGCCGAGGTGGGCGGATCGTTTGAGCTCAGGAGTTCGAGACCAGCCTGAGCTAGAGCGAGACCCCTGTCTCTACTAAAAATAGAAAGAAATTAGCCAAACAACTAAAAATAGAAAAAATTAGCCGGGCATGGTGGCGCATGCCTGTAGTCCCAGCTACCTGGGAGGCTGAGGCAGGAGGATCCCTTGAGCCCAGGAGTTTGAGGTTGCTGTGAGCTAGGCTGACGCCATGGCACTTGCCCCAGGCAAGAGAGTGAGACTCTGTCTCAAAAAAAAATAAAAAATAAAAATAAAAATGTGTTAAAAGGATATATCTCATGGTAAATGTTCTTATCAAAATAAAATAAAATAATTTTTTAAAACATTCTCAAGCCGAATGTGATGGCACATTCCTGTAGTTCCAGCTACTCAGGAGACTGAGGCAAGAGAATCCCTTGGGCCCAGGAGTTCGAGCCTGCAGTAGGCTATGATCATGCCACTGCACTCCACCCTGGGAGACAGAGAGAGATCCTGTCTCTATTAAAAAAAAAATTCTCAGAACTTATTTTTTAAATAGGCAAAAGATTTGAACAGACACTTCGCGGAAGAATATATACAGATGGCAAATATGCATATAATAAGGCATAATGCATCATTAACAAAATGCAAATTAAAACCACAATGAGATACCTCTGTTAGAATATCTAAAATTAAAAAGATTACTGGTGGAAATGTAAAACGGTACAACTACTTTGGAAAACAGTTTGGCAGTTTCTTACAAAGTTACAAAGTTAATAGTAAACATACACCCACCATATGCTCCAACCGTTCCACTTCTAGGTATTAATACAAGATAAATGGAATCCTAAGACTTGTGCAAGAATATTCATAGCAGTTTCATATGTTCCCAAAACAGGGAGAAAGTGCCCATCAACAGACTAATGGATAAACAAATTGTTGTATAACCATACAATGGAATACTCTTCAGTAATAGAAAAGAACGAACTCTTGATATATGTAACAACATGGAGGATTCTCAAAACAATTATGCTGAGTAAAAGAACTGTGGCAAAAAAGAGCACATATTGTAATGTTCCATTTATATAAGTCTAGAACATCTAAAGTCATCTGTAGAGACAGAAAGCAGATTAGTGGCTGCCGTAGATGGGTTGGGTGGATGGGTATGGAGGGGCAGGACGTGAGGATGGAGGGATGACAAAGGACACAAGATAATTCTTTGGGGTGATGGAAACGTTCATTATTTTTATGGTGGTGATGGTTTTGCAGGTGTAACATGTCAAAACATATCAAATTATACACTTTAAACATGTGTAGTTTATTGTGTATCGGTTATACCTCAATGCAGCAGTAAAACAAAGAATTAGGAGACCTTAAGAAAAGAGACAGAAAAGGAAAGAAATGCTGTCCTGGTTACCACCAGCGAGGCACTACAGAGAAGCACTGGGTGATCTCTGTTGCATTCAGCCTGAAGGAGGCAAGGGGGAGGGCTCTGGGAGACAGGTGTCTGGGCAAGGGTGGGCTCCAGGCACTGACAGTGGAGTTGAGAATGGAAGAACTCAAAGATTTTATAAAGGCACATCAAGCAAAAGAAAAGTTAATTATAAACTCCGGGGGGAAAAATCAACTAAAAATCAATATGTGCTCCAAATAGGAAACCAAATTAAAATTTGGCATAGTTTTAAGAGTTAATGAAAAATTAAAAAGTATAATCCATTTGGCCTTGATACTAGAACTCTTCTATAACAGTGACCCACAGGTCATGATATTGAACCTTCACACACACACACACACACACACACACACACACACAGACAAACCTATAATTCAAGCCTCTAATTGGCCTGGCAGAGAAGTGTATTCATACAGTTAAGGCAAAGTAAATGCTATGTATTAGTTTTCAACTTTCAGAGACAAACTGTGAACACTGCATGAAGGCCTTGGTTGTGATTCCAGACAGTGAATGGTAACAACCTCAATAACATAAAAGTGAAATTGTGGAAGAAAGAAGGAAAGATACAGGAAAGGGTAAGAACGACAGTGTTTTCATTTCACCTGAAGGAAGTTGAAATACTCAACCAAAGATGATCAAACAAGAAATAGAGGTATAAGTGCATCATTTCAAGTCACAAAGGTAACCAGCAACAGAGCAATGTATTAAATAAATAGTTCTAAAAAGAAAAACGTGATTTTCAAAATTGGAAGGAAGAAGTTTGGAAGGAGCATTGGTGTGCATAAGCAAAATCCTTATCTTGCATTATAATGAGCCCATAGATAATGTCTGAGGTTGAGAATTGAGGAATGGAAGAATAAGCATACTACTTAGAGTTAGGGTAGTGGCCATCAGCATCACAAAATCCAGAAATAATGGAAAGAAACAGCCTCTGGGATGTGCGCCTGGGGATAGGAAGGCCCATGGTAGCCCATTGCTTTTCATAAGCCAAAAGGAGTTGTGTTTTCTTTAATTGTTAAAAAAAAATCATATAAACAAACAAAAAGAACAAAGTCTCAGGTTAGTGGTTTTTAAACAGCTGAGATTAAATAACTCTGATGGAGAGAATCTATGTTGTTGTTGGGGACAAGAGTAGGGTTTTGTTATGCAAGCCCTGGAAAGAACATTAAAGGCTTTAGATTTTAGTATTTTAATATAATTGCACTGTGTCTCCATTAGTTCTGCTGGACAATTAGTAAAAAACAAAATCTCCCTTAAAACCAGATACTACATCCAAATGGAGCCTTCCTGAATTAAACACATTACCAAAACAAAGTTAAATGTTGACATTTCCTGATATATCAAATGTCATCCTCTTTTTTTGCCTTCTCTTTAAAGTAGTTTTTTTTTTGTTTTGTTTTTTTTGAGACCGAGTCTCACTCTGTTGCCCAGGCTAGAGTGCCACGGCGTCAACCTAGCTCACAGCAACCTCAAACTCCTGGGCTCAAGCGATCCTCCTGCCTCAGCCTCCCGAGTACCTGGGACTACAGGCATGCGCCACCATGCCCGGCTAATTTTTTCTATATATTTTTAGTTGTCCGATTAGTTTCTTTCTATTTTTAGTAGAGACGGGGTCTCGCTCTTGCTCAGGCTGGTCTCGAACTCCTGAGCTCAAACAATCCGCCCGCCTCGGCCTCCCAAAGTGCTAGGATTACAGGCGTGAACCACCGCGCCCAGCCTAAAGTAGTTTTTAGGGGGCTATTTTTGTTTTCAAAACCAGAAGCTTATTGGTTTTTTAAAACCAGTTGCTTATTTAGTAATTCCCCCTAATTCATCACAGTTAGAAACAAATACTTGAAGCCATTTTAAGCTATGATTTCAGTTAAACTTGTTTTCATAAGCTTAGTAAATCCATATGGTATGTAATGAAGCTCTTAAACCAGAAAAGCAACATTTATGAATGACTGTGATATTTTAAAACACTAGAAGACACCTCTGCTGTCCTGCTCTCTTTTCCAGACGAGCTGACATGGAACTGCAGAATCTTCAGTGCTCGTGGGAGCGGGAGAGAACAGTAGCTGACGCCTGTCCTATGCCTGGCTTAGAAACTGCTTAAACAAAAAGGAATCCTCTCTTTCCTCTCTTCTGCAGAATCCCAGCCCAGGGTTATTTGCTGTAATGCACCCTCTGACCTATGTGGAAACTTCGATAGATTACCATCTATGCTCTCACCCCAAGTACAAGTTCACCAAAGAGTGCCACAGTGGGTCCAGCATTTCTCTCACCCAAAAGCAGTTTCTCCATCACATGGTAATGTCATCACCAGCCTCACTGGTAGAGCTGGCCTTGGGCTGCAGGGAGGGGCAGGGGACGAAGACAGAGGGTCACGGCTGGACAAAGGTTTTCAGCCACAGCTGCAGAGCGAGAGTAGGAACAGCAGTCTTCGTACCGCCAGCCCTAAAGGGGTACGGTGGAGACTCAACATGGCTTTGTCCTGTCCACATCCCCCTCTCAGGCTGCCTGCTGCCCTGTTTCCAGCATTCTCTCTCATTTCCCCTTGCAGGCTATGCCTAATGTTCATATTTCAACCATGTAAAAATGCTCACATGGTGTGCGTAACCCCTTGGTCTGACCTCCTCTTTCTTTGGCCCCAGCAAGGGTAGAAACATCAGCATGGGCGACATGACACGTGCACAGTAAAGTAGGGGCTCCAAAGAATTCCTTCTCCCCCAAGGTGACCAACCTGACCTGAATATCTCACAGCACCTCTCGAGGATTAACCTCAGGCCCTTCCAACTCAATACATCCCTAACTCTGCTCATTGTTTCTCCCCACTTCTGCCAACCACACCCCAAACTGTCTCCTCTTCCTGTGCCACCGACTTGCCTCTTTGTTCTGTGGACTGGTGCAGTTACCCATGTGGTCCTGGATCCCTCATTCGCCACTTCTAACCACCACTGGATGCCCCGTCTGCCTCCTAAGCAGCACGCACGTCTCTCTGCAGTCCACCCCACGGCCCACCGCTGCAGCGGCCAGCCCTCCACAGCGATCTTCCTTAGACACAAACCTGATCATGGCGTTCCCTGCTCCAAGCCCTCAGTGTGTCCTATTGCCTGCGGGAGCAGCTCCAGCGCATCAGCTTGGCCCGCAAGGCCCTGTGACCTGCCAACCCCCTCACACCCGCCACTCGGCCGAGCTGGTGGCCTCGCAGCGTCTCCTTCCGCTCGGTGCGCACGCGGCTCCCCTGCCTGGAGCGCCACTTCCGAACTGCCAGCCCCTCTGAGTGTTGCATTGGCGTCCCATTCACAATCAAAACAGGCTGTGCGTGCGCATCTGCCCTCTGGCCGAGGACGTGTTGCTCGTATGCCTAATGAAGCCAAGGAAATAACCTCTCCCTGGTCTCTAGCTCTCAGTTGTGTTGTTTAATGCCCTTCGCTGGAGCAATTGCCTTTTTGCCTCAGAAAAATTCAGTCAATCTTAATGAAACTATGAATATTGGAGCTAACCTTTTAAGACTGAAAAAGAGTCCTTTCTAGACTTTACCTCACCAAGCAGTTCCTTTCCGTGTGGTAGCCCTGTGCCGGCTTTCGTTACAGGACATCATTCCCGGCGTAATGCACTGGAAGAAGTTCCAGCCCCTGGTGTTCTCCTCCATGCCCGACACGTCCAAGATGGAGGCCGCGCAGAGGTAAGCACGGCGCCCCTGTTTGTCCCACCAGGCGTGTTTGCCCCATGGGTTACGGAGGCAATGATCCCCAGAAGGTGAATGCCAATAATATATTAAACCATACTTTTTTTTTTTTTTGAGACAGAGTCTCACTCTGTCACCCGGGCTAAAGTGCAGTGGCGTCATCGTAGCTCACTGCAGCCTCAAACCCCTGGGCTCAAGGGGTCCTCCTTCCTCAATACCCCGAGTAGCTGGGACTACGGGCACACGCCACCACGCCCAGCTAGTTTTTCTATTTTTTGTAGAGACGGAGTCTCGCTCTTGCTCAGGCTGATGTCGGACTCCCGCGTCAGCCTCCCAAAGCACTGGGAATACAGGCTGAGCCACTGCACTGGGCAAACTATGCTTTTAAAGCACGAGGGAAATTCGCTAGTCAGAAAAATGTGGTAATATATAAGCGATTTGCATATTTCGAAATTATCTTGAGATAAACTTTTTTAAAAAAGTAATGTCATAGGTGGCTAATTGGTAATGCTTGAGTAAAAGTAGACAACCAATATGTATAATTCAGCTGAAATATTCAAGGCCAATCTTTAAAATGTTTTAGTTGCCAAAGTTACCTTCTGCAGCCTGCACATCCAATTCCAAAGGATCCACCTCTCTCTCGTGTCACAGCCTGGCGTTCGCTGTGAGCCCCGTGGTGTCCTCACACAGACATTCAGACAGAGCCTGTAGCTCAGCTCCAGACATGGAACTGTAGATGAGAATGTTGCGGGATGGCAAAAGAAGAAATATAGAGTAACTACGTTTTTGCTAATTTGCTTATTTAATACTCTTCAGAGCCATAAGATATAAAACAAGTAGCCTAGTGCCTTTTCTTTAGACTCTGCTGGTCAGTAGCGCACTCCTGAGCCCTTGACTTTGTACTTGCTTCTTCAGTCCATTGCCCATATACAGCTACACAAGTTATTGGTGAGCAAACGTGACCAGTGTCTCAAAATGATTGTCCTTGGCTGTCACCTTTTGTTCAAATCCTCTGATCCAGAATGAAGCCCGCCCCCAGGTGGCAGAGCACTGTCATGGCCCCAAGAGTGGCTAGGCCACCTGAGCTCTACCACCAACCAAGATCAGCAGGTAATCTTTCTACACCACCCAGCTTCCACTAGTAGATCCTGGGTCCTCTGATTCAGAAACTCAGCAGGAATGCCACACGGCCTCCAGGAGCTGCTACATGGCCTCAACCACAGTCCCCAGCCACTCTCACAACCCTGTCCTCTTGTCAGTAAGACAAGAGGATTGGCTTGTTGAGAAGGTCCTTCTCAGCCTTGACATTTTAACTTTGACAGGAGTACAAGAGCTCACCTCGTGTGTGGCTACTCCGCGTACTCTACCCATCCACCTGCCCCCCCCCCAGGTATTTGAGGAGGTAGTTGGAATCCAATTTGTGACCCTAGAACACTTAACGTGGCTTCCTCCTTCATCACTTTCATTGAGAAGCTTCTCTGAGAAGCGCTTCCTGAGTTAAGCCGAGGGCAGCTTTCCGTCCAGGGGCTTTACCGTGTGCCGTCCCAGTGGGTTATTTCCTTGGTGCTCCGCTGCTGCTCTCCTCTGCCTGGAGATTAGCATGACATAAACACAAAGCACACAGCATGGGATTTGGGACGTGACAGGGCTCAAAAATGTTAGTTCCTTTCCTATTAGTTCATCCATGTCTCATCCACCACGTTGCCATCTCAAAATAAAGTCAGCATCTTTGTTCTTCATTTTTAGCGTACTTCTAAAATCTCCACAATCAGGGGAAAGGGGCATTGTAGAGAGAAGGGAAGCTTTGGTGTTGGAAGCCCTACCTCCATTGCTTGCCAGCTGTGTGGCCACTCTCTGCCCTTGGGCAAGTTACTTATTACTGAAGCCCCCTGAGCAATCATTTCCTCGAGTGTGAAACAGAGCCGATGATGGTGTCCTCACAGGGTTGTTGTGAGGATTAAAGCAAAATAATTATGTGAAGCATCGAGCGTCGAGCCTGGTGCATGCTTAATAACGCTTCCTTCTCTTCTACCCTCCACACTTGTCCACTGAACCTTGCAGTCACTCTGTCGCCACCAGATGGCAATGCTCCATCACCATTTCGATAAACTGCCTCATTTTGCTGGGGGGCGAGGTCACCTCTAAATGGACCGTGTGATCAGTAAAGTAGTTTCTGAGATGGGTTTGGGGTGCTGCCTGGAGACTGAATAAGCAAAATAAGGAAGGCGGGAAGTGGCCACCTGCTGCCTGTGTGCACCCACTGTCAGCACGTACAGGTCTCGAGAAGTAAGAAAAAGCATCCTATTTTTTTTTTTCAAAGCTATGTCCTTGGAAAAATCTCCCCAGGCTGTTCTTTCAACAAACAGTCAGAGTGCAGTTACCTCGGGCTTATTCCACCGTGAATTAAACATGAATTCTACGTGAATTACAGAAAACTTCCCAACCATGAGTTGTTACTTCAACCTCTGTGCCTGAGTGCTCTGTTGGGCCAGTGTGTTTCAAAATAAACTGCAGTTGCCCAACAGCTCATAAAATCAAGAAAGGATTCTGTATTTCCTTATCGTGGATTTCCACTGCATGTAAGATTCTAGCTCATGTTTTTATTTCTGAAAACAGAAAATAAGAGGGATAATTCTTTTTTTAAAGTCTGTCTTGGCTTATTCAGGCTGCTATAACAAAATGCCACAGACTGGGTAGTTTATAAACAAGAGAAATTTATTTCTCACAGTTCTGGAGGCTGGGAAGTTCAAGATCAAGGCATCAGCAGATGTGGTGTCTGGTGAGGCCTCGCTTCCTGGTTCATACACGGCTGTCTTCTCACTGTGTCCTCACATGGCAGAAGGGGGAACAGGGCTCTCTTGGGCTTCTTTTATAGGGCACCCATCCCATTCATGAGGGCCTCATACTCATGACTCATGACCTAATCACCTCCCAAAGGCTTCATCTCCAAAGACCATAACATTGGGGTTGGGTTCCAGCATATGAATTTTGGGAGAAACACAAAATTCAGTCTTTAGCCAGTGCCTACAACTTCCTTAATTACATATCAATTTTGCAGCCATTTCTCTTGAGTAAATCACATCCTATTACTTATGAAGTTTCCCTTATATCTCTTGCCCCTAAGAGTTATCTGCTTATTGTTAAACCATGCAACATAGTTATTTGCTGTTTATTTCTTTCAAGTCACTTTTGTATTCATAATCATTGAAGCAGCTCATTAATTTCTTTATTCTTTGGTAAATTCAGTGAGAATTTGTTAAGTCACTATGTGCTTCCATAAAATCTGAGTGTCAACAACAACTGAAGAAATTATCTAATCCAGTAGTTCCTAGACTTTCAGATTTTACAAATGAATGAAATGTCCAGAAGAATTTTGGAAACTGACTTGGGATTGTCAGAGTTTTACTTTGTCAAGTAAGATGTTAAAACAAAACAAAACAAATAAAATTCTCAACCACCACCTACTGTCATCACCATTTCAATTTTAAACAATGTTAACACAAAATGTAGGAGGAACATGATCTCAGAATTTAAACATTGGGTTAGTTTTGTTTCATGAAAAACTCTTGGTTGTTGCTGTTTCATCTTCCCAGACCAGTCTGATCTCAGGAGAGTGGTCCAGCCTCTGAACTCCTCAGTCCCTCCTCTTAGCAGGAATCCCCTCTGACTACACATCTAAAGCGTCAGTAGAATTTTCAAATAGAACCTGGATTCTTTGTCTGAAGTCAGTAAATAGAACTAACTCTGGGTGTGGGGGCTCTGGTTCCTTCTAGTAGGAAATGGGATTAAAGACCAAAATCTGGATGCCAGGTGTGCACATTGTTACTGCGGTGTTTTTGTTTCTTCGCCTTTTCAGCAAAGTCAGGGATACACACACACATATATAATGTACATATGCATGCACACATACATATATATACATAAGTATATATGTGTTCATATCAACAAATACATGTACATATTTTAGAAATAAAAAATTCACACCAATATCCACAATTTCAGTCCATATCTATTGAGCTATTGATTGCTTTCCACAATTCAGTATCTCCTTCTTCCACTGTGAGAACCCTGGCTTCTAGTACATTTTATAATACATCTAAAATTGTTTCAAAATTGCTTCACCCATACTCACTTTAATAAACATGCAAGGTGAAAAGAGTTCAGATTTATTTGTAGTTCTCCCCCTACTGCCATCCCACCCAAGACTATGGTTATATATTCAAATACTATACTTATAAGTTACTTGAATTATTTCTTTCTCTTTCTTCTCTTTCTTTTCTCATTTCTTCTTTCTTATCTTTCTTCCTTTCTTTCAATGTCTTTGTCTCTCCCCCCCCACATGTGGTTATGGAATTTGTGTGAAATATTATTATTTGTTTCAGTTTGCTTTCAGTCTTTTTATTTCCCTTTTTTATTGACTTAATTTTATTTTTCCATATGTGGAACAATAATTTTTTTTCCAAACTCAAAACTATACAAAAAGAGGGTCCTGGTGGGGTAGGGCCACAGGCAGGGTGGAAGGAAAACCACACACACACACACACACACACACACACACACACACACACACACACACGGGCATGCTCAGGAACGAGTCACTCCCTCCCATTTCCCACCCCTGGTAGGTAACCAGCTTGGTCTTCTAACTTATCCTTCCTGTGTTTCTCTTTGTAATGCTAACTAGAATGTATGTATTTTCTTATTTCTCCTTCTTTCCTACACGAAAAGTGGCATTCTAGATATGCTTTTCTGCATTTGCTTTTTTCATTTAATATCTCCTGAAAATCACGCTGTATCAGTTCACAGATACCGCCCTCATCCTTTTTTCCATCTGTAAAAATCATGGTGCCATCATTTTCTGGATTTTTTTCCAGCCAGCCTCCACACTTGGCAAGCAGGTGCATTTTTGCACAATAACTAAACAAAGATAAAAGTCTTACCTGAAAGACATATATGCGCACATGGAGCCTTCCCTGTCCCCCGTTCCTGCCGCCCGCCTCGCCTGCAGCCCAAGGCCTTTCCAGCATCTGCTGGGAGGTCTGTCTCCTCCCGTGTGCTCCAGGCTCTGTCATTCTTTGCTCTTGTTCATGAGACAGCACTCTCCAAGCTTGTAGAAATTTATTCCAGAAACTTGTTGAAGATTTTTATTCCCTGATGTCCTTTCTCCTGTTCTCTTTGCTGTTGGTGTTCAGTTTTTATTCCTTCGACATCATTTGAAAGGTTTATAAGGAAGGCTTTGGGACCAAAAAAAGTGAGTCCTCGTTCTCCCTTCTTGAAACGAAAGTCTGCTGCCAACTTTTAAAACAAAAAGATATTTTTCTCCCTCTCTCAATTCTTTAATATCCTCAATATCCAGGAATTTTCGTATAAAGCTCTGAAGTTATAATACCAAACAATACATCAGAGGATGGGGAGGAAGGTTTAAAGCTGAATAGAATGACTAAGGAAGAGTATAAAGGTGGGGAGAAAATACTAAGCACAAAAGTAAACTATCTGTGCCCACGCCAGGAAATAATGTGATTTTACACACTACCAACTGAAAAATCCGTGATTCTGTTTTTAAACTCCAGAAAATGTCTTCTTTGGCAACGTTCTCCTGAGTTGGGCCGGGGTCTATTGCACCCCGCACCTTTGCCTCCCAGGAACCATGAGTGTGTTTTCAGGAAGGAGGGAGGACAGAGTAGTAGAAGCTTCATCAGTGGTGAAGTAAAAGTGCCTTAGAAAATGATATAAAGACCCCAAGACTTCTAATGTGATCACTAATTCTTGACTGCCTATGTGATTTTTCCACAGCTGTGATCCCCTCAATTCGGTTATGCTTCCCACAGAAGTCCCTGCCATTCTTGCTGCCTTACCAGAAGAAGACAGACTAGAAACAGTTGAACGGTATTTGTTTGCCTTTGGTCTCTAATGTGGTCTGTTTTCCAAAAATATGTGCAGTGCTGTGAGGGATTTCAAAAGAGCACACAGTGCCTGAGCTTGCAACTCAAATGAGAAGATAACCCAACCACATCACCACCAAGATTAGATGTTAAGTTCATGGTAGAGAATCGCAGTCTCTAAGCTCTACAATCCACTGATCCTTAGGTGCCCCAGGAGCTCCAGGGCGGGGAGATCAGAGGTGGTGCCAGATGGGCTTGGAAGACTTTAGTGGTCACATGGACTTGGGTTAGTACATGAAAGATGCGTAGGATTTGGATACGCAAAAAGAAATATAAGCCCGAAAGCAAGGCACTTACATTTGATTTTACCAATCAGCATCCAACAACCAATGAAAATGCGTCCTTGAATCTCTTATCCCAATGCCCATTTAAACCCGATGGCTGCTTCTCCATGGTGAGCTCCTCAGCGTGCGGCATCCAAACGCCCAGCGCACACGTGAAACCAGCTGCATCACCTGCCCTTGCCCCACGTGCAGATGCCTCTAGATCACGGCCATTTCTTTCTCCTTCGTAAAAATATACTTAGCGATTTATTACATCACCACGTAATTTCAGGGAGAGAGTTAGAAGTTCTGTACGTTTTAGTGGGTACTTTTCTACCAGGCAAAAGTAAAATCCATTTCCGTTTTCTAGTTTAATTATCCAACACAGCATAAAGTTTCATACATACTCATCTTTCCTTAAAATTAGATTCCATCAGAATGATGGTAGAGCACTCGAGATGTCTAATAGCATGGTGACAACGGCTGCGGGCTCAAACCCTCCAGCTGCCACCCACTTTCAATACACCTTGGGCAAGTGACTTCACCTCCATGTCCTCACCTTTAACCTGGGATAACCCCAGGACCCATCTCATGAGTGGCTGCGAAAAGCAAATGAGTAAATACATGTCAAGTGTTGAGTCAGGGGCCTGGCACATAGTAAGGTCTTGATCATTGAAGCTATTATTATTTTTTGTATAGTTTACTTTTGTTTAGTATTTGTCCCCACCTTTAGCTGTTATTGTTAATGACCTTGATATTCCAAACCCCTAACCCAGTATCTGACACTTGGTAGGCAAGTAACAACTCACTTTTGAATAAAATGTATCACCCAACAGTAACAAAATGAGAAAATGAAAATGAAAGAAGATACGTAGTTAGAGTTCCAAAATACCAAATGAAGAGATAGTCATGTCCCAAGAGGTTTCCTTTCATCCAGTGTTATGCTGAAAGAATAGAGGATGAATAAATATTTCTGATATTTTTATATTTTGATTTTTAATATCCTTGGGGGTGTAGAGGAACACTCAGATGTATTGCTGTATCGGTGACAACAGAGTTGGGGTACAGCACAAAGAGGGCCACCAGCCTTACATGGCAAGATCACAGGTGCATCAGGAAGACCCTTAGCCCCAAAGTCACTCCCTCACTCTATTTCCTGAGCTTCTGTTACCAAAGATCCATTCCTTTTGCTTTGGGCTTTGTTCCTTTTAAAACACAAATAGCTCTGGAAGGGAACATTTTGAGTCTTACTTATAACTCAGTATAAGACCCTCAGTGCCTTCTTAGAGTTGAGGTTTGGGAGGCAGGAGAGATGGTGGAAATGGGGGATTCCTAGTCCAGTGGGGAGGCCAAGGGAAATAGGAAGAGGGGTGGGAAACTGCTAATGGGAAGATAATGTTTGCAAAGCACCAGCATATAGCAGCTACTCAGTAAATTTTAGCTTTCAATCTTATGGGGCTAGAACAACTTTTTGCAGATTTCAAGGATATTTTTCTTAACAATACCTGTTATGCCCACCTCTGTTTACATATATTGCGGCTGAGTAAAGTGTTCCTGTTTTTAATTCCAAACTTTGAAGGCTTTGTTGCCTTCATTGATCTTGAAACATTTCTCTTTAACTGAGTGTGGCAGAGATGGCTACTGTCAAAAAATTTATTGTCCTTTTCTTTTAAAATCACAGTCATTGAAACTAGAGGCTAAATTTCCCAGCTTCCCTTGCAGTTGTCAGTGGAATGTAACCGAATGAGATATATTTCACTTGTGAGGTTAGGACTCTTAACAGAGTGAAAGTGTCTCTCCACACTCTTCCTTCTCATTTTACTCCAGCTGAAACCCCAACATGCAGTGACCCAGCCTGAACCATCAAACAACAAAGCTCTAAACCAGAGGTTGGCAAACTATGGCCCACAGCAAATCTGGCCCACCACCTGTGTTTGTAAATAGCTTTATTGTAACACAGCCATATCCATCCACTTATATATTTTCTATGATTCCTTTCATGCTGCAATAGCAGAGTTGAGTAGTTGTAACAGAGACCATATGACCCACAAAGTCTCTGTAGGAAAAGTTTGCTGATCCCTGCTCTAGGGGATAGCAGACCACAAAGAGATAAAAAATAACCTAGATTCCTTTAATTTCTTCTTTCATCAATAGGCTATTTAGAAATATATTGTTTAATTTTAAAGTGATTGTGGACTCTAGTTATCTTTTTTGCTATTGATTTCTGTTATAATTTCATTGTGGCCGGAGAACATACTCTGAATGATTTCACCCTTAAGAAATCTTACAGGCTTTCTTTATAGCCCAAGATATGGTCAGTTTTGGTAAATGCTCCATATGCACCTGAAAGGAATATGAATTCTGTAACCCTATTTTTAAAAATTGTTTTTTATTCTCTGATTATAAATAACTACCACTATTCCTACCATTGTTTGTTGGTGGAAAGCAATTTATCACCCTTATGTCTCTCTGAACATAAACCCAACAAAAATAGATGGGACTAAAGTTGAATACCACAAGAACTGCATAACTCCTAAGTAATCACAATATTTCATTCTATTTTTATGTTGAGAAGGAAAAGCAGTTCCCACTAAACATCTTACTACTTTCCAGTGAGCTCTGTGAACAGAATATAGAAGTTACATTGACCCCAGAAATGATCCGAGCAGAATTCCCTATGTTGAACTACAAGGACATCAGGAAGGAGAAGTAAGTGGATATTTTTATGCCTTATTAGTAGATATCCTTGAATAAAGTTTGTCCTACATGGAGTACAGAACTGTCACATTGTCTGAATCTAAATATCTCAATCTTTGAGACACATTTCTGATGCTTCATATATTTATATGTATATTTTATTTTATGCACAATTATACTCCCTGAAATGTTGTTGGCAAGTAAGCCTTTAAAAACTGAAATCGATTTTCCATTTGTTTGTCAATCAATTTCAGACTTTTGTTTGTTTGTTTTTTTGTTTTTTTTTTTTTTTTTCAGCGTATTATGGGGGTACAGATGTTTAGGTTACGTATGTTGCCCTTGCCCCTCCCCCCCCAAGTCTGAGCTTCAAGCATGTCCATCCCCTGGATGGTGCGCATCGCACTCTTTGTGTACGCATACACCCGTCCCCTCCCTCCCCCCTCCCCCTGCCCGACATCCAATAGATGTTATTCTTATATGTGCACTTATGTGTTGATCAGTTAATACCAATTTGATGGTGAATACATGTGATGCTTGTCTTTCCATTCTTGGGATACTTCACTTAGTAGAATGTGTTCCAGCTCTTTCCAGGAGAATACAAGAGGTGGTATATCACCATTGTTTGTTAAAGCTGAATAGTACTCCATGGTATACATATACCACATGTTTGTTTTTCATAAATAGTTGATTGAGTTTCATTCAATATAAAGAACCCAGGCTCTGGAACAACCCCTGGGGCTGAATCCCAGCTCCACCATTTATCACATGTGAGATCTTGAGCCAAGCTATTGTACTTATCTTCCCTGGGACTCAGTTTCACCATCTGTAACACACGCAGAAAGTAAAATCTCTCTCCCAGGGCAGTTGTGAGGATTAAATGGGGTGCCAAGTGTGGAAGCATTTAGCGGTTGCCTGATGTTAACTAGAGCTCGGTAAATGTTCTTTCCTCCTTCTTACCATCAGGGGCTAACTAGCTAAGCAAGCATCATCCTTCTAAACACTGGCTTTGAAAACGTGACAATAAACATGGAAAATGTGTTCAACCTCATTTGTAATGAAAGACATGCAAATTAAAACCAAAAAATTGGTCTTGAAGAATACTTTTGTAATATAAATAACCACTTATAGTTCATATGGTTTATAAGTTTGAAATTCCAGGTATACAGTATTTTTTTTTGCTCTTCTATTTATAGAATGCCCTTTTTATTATTAAAAAATTAGAAAATACAGAGAAATATAAAAAAAAAAAACAAAGTAAATAATCCTACCACCCAAAGGTAGTAATTTATACATTTTGATATATGGACTTTTAAAAAAATATATGGTTTTAACAAAATCAAATTATGTTGTACACATTGTTTTGTTTTCTGTACTTTTATTTAATAATATATCATAAACACATATTTATAAATATAAATATGCATAATCATATTTCACTAAGTAGATGTACCATAATTTATTTAACCAACCCTCTACTCTTTTCAATATTTTGCTGTTATTAATAGTGCTGCAACAAACGTCCTTATGCCATAATTCCTTACAAACTTATCAGACTGTGTCCTTAGGAGAAACTGTAGGTCAACGTGCTTTTTAAGTTTTCAACATACATTGTTTAATTGCCATCCAGAAAGTGCATTAACCACTACCAGCAGGGGTTAGGACTGCGTGCATTCAAATGCCCCGGACGACATGGAATATTATCATGGTTTTTTTCATCTTTATCAACAGGACAGATTTTTTTAAAGACCATCTCATTGTTTTAATTTTAATTTCTTTGTTTACAAGCGATATTAAAAATTTTCCTATCCTTATCAACTATTTTTCTTCTTTTGTGAGAAGATTGTTTTGCCAATTTTGTAGGAGTCCCCCATTTATTAAGGATAATTACCCCTTCTTATATATGCTGAAAATTCGTTTTCTGTTTGTCTCTTACCTTTGTTCAGGGTGTTGTGGGTTGCCCTGCCTTTTCTGAAAGGAATGTTCACATGTCTTAGAGTAGTATGGGGTTTCTCCGGTTTGTTTGTGATAGTTTCAGAGGCCTGCAGCAACCAACCCTTCTCGAAAATAGATTGGCAGTTTCTGGTGAAAAACAATTTAGGAAATAAAACTTTTAAGTAGAATTCCATTGAGCATGTGTTTTAATCAGTTAATTAACTCATTAAAGTATCATGTTATACTACACAGCACATAAAACTTCCTGCACCTCAACAAGTAGATGCACTTTGTATTTTGTTTCAAGTTTGAAATAGTTGACTAAAGGTTTTAAACAGAAAACTTTTTTTTTTTCTATTTCAAAAATTACCCCTGGATGTAGAATGGCTGGCCCCACAGGCACAGTAATATCCAATATAACTCTCCACTCACTCTTTCACTTGAGTTTTCCCCATTTATACTATGTAGCTAATGTTGAATGACATTTGAATATCAAATCATTATTACATGAAATTGAAGTTGCTTTATATATTCACCCAAAGTGGTATATCTTTTTTCTTTTAATGTATGTTGACTACATTTTTATTGTAGTATTTGTATATGTATTTTGACTAAAATAATAAACAATAAACTCTAAACATTTTCTTGCACACCAAATTAGCTTCTAATTTTTCAAAATATATATATATAAATTTCACACATTTGCAACAAACATTCCCATGGCATTTGGAATTTACCCCTTTTGCAGTTAAAATTATTTTATGTATACTTTTCATGTGTCAAAATTGTCAATATATATATATAAATTTCACACATTTGCAACAAACACTCCCATGGCATTTGGAATTTACCCCTTTTGCAGTTAAAATTATTTTATGTATACTTTTCATGTGTCAAAATTGTCAATATAATTATCATTTTGTTGGCTGCATAGTATTCTAACAGGTTGATATCCCGTAGACCATTTTCGAAAGTTATTTGATTCTGGAATTCTCTTCAGCGCATGTCAAGCATTACCCGATGCTCAGTTTTTTCCTCTGTTCTTAGTTCTTTCTCTCTTCACCTCCTTCCCCCTCAGCCAGAAGCCAACAGAGTCCTCCTGTCAGATGCACACGCAGCCAGAGCTTGGACAGACAGGAAAAGAACAAAAAGAACACATAATTGGTGTTTAGTTTCCCCCAGGACAACTGCTATGTATTTTGTTTCCAGCAAACATTTATTTTTATGGATGCAAAGAACCATCTGCTCTCCCTCGGGGGCTGAAACTACCTGGAGAGATTCTTTGCCACCTGGACAGGGTCTCGGCCCTCTCAGGACCCGCTAAAGGGAATCGTGTTGTGAAATGTCCAAGAAACCGTGAAAGTGACTTTAGTTGCTGACACATCATTCAGCACTCCTTAGCTTACCACGGTATTACTCAATCATTAATGTCTTTAAAGAGATGCATGTTCTGTATATTTTTAGACATGATTCCATAAAATGGTTTTAATTAATTTCTTTAGTTATGTACATTAGGGAACATTTTCATTGTCCATTTTCAGGTATTTCTGGTTTTCCAAAGCTGTCAGGCATTTGCTAGAACTTTACGTGTCACCCTCTTGAGAAAATGTCTCAGAAGCACTGAGGTTTATGTTGGATTCGCCCATCTCTCAGGCAGCTCATATAGCCGAGTTCACAATCTTTAGATGAGACATCTGTCCTTTCAACCAACACGCTCATCTCCTGCCAGATCCATGAACACTGGTCAACACATGACAGCCTCTGGGCCGAGTCTCCCTCTGCACCTAAGCCTTGGCCCTGCCCACCAGGAGGCAAGTGGGGCCCTGAGAAGCCCAGACCCTCTCCGTCTCCCACCCTTCGTAGTTGACAGCCCCGTTTCACACCACATTGACTGAAGTGGCACCCAGCAAGCCGTGGCCATCCTGGCATCGGTCTTTCTTCCACACTGGCCACTACTTGACCCAGGTGCGTGGCCCTCCCTCTCGGTTCCCACTCGTCTGGAGCCAGTGTCAGAGTCAGAAATAGTGTGTCCCTTTCATTCATGAGGATGAAAAACCAACTAACGCTGAGTGAGCATGTAGAAGGCATCATGCTGGGATCTCTGTGAATGATTCCATTTCCCTGCACGATGCTGCGGGCCGATAGGAGTCACAGCCGTTTGTGCATCAGGACACACAGCCTCAGGACAGGTAGGCGACTTGCCCGTGCTAAGAAACGGTGCGGCTGAGACCGGAAGCCGGGTTCGAATCACTTGCAAGCTGAGTATTTGTGCTGGTAACTAAATTATTGGTAAGTATAATTAAAACTTTCTTTATATGTCAAAAAAATAACTCCTTCACCTTCACCAGCAGCGCAGGGGGTTGGTGGGTGACTTGCATGTTTTATTAAGTGCCCTCATGTGTCCTTGTCGGGTTTTTTGATATTCAGAGAAGTGAAACACCAGGCACAACCAGCGGAGAAGGCGGGAGAAAAGGTGCTCGAGGAGATGAAGAGTCTGCGGGGCAAAGCTCTCAACGCATACCTGATTCTAGAATAAACATCTCCAGGAGGTCAGGTCCTTCCATTTGCCTTCCGTGGGCCACTGTGGTCCTGTGTGTCCATATACATTCCAACCATTTTTTGAATTAAAGCTTCCAGAGAAAAAAATTGATATGTAGATGATGTATATATTTTTAAATTATAAATTTTATTCTTAGAAATAAAATGTCATTAGTACAATGGCAGTGTCGGTGGCTTTTTGGCACAAGATTTATTGCTGGAACACTTGTGAGCAAGGCGCAATGACAGACTGCGAGCCGGGTGCCAACGGCTGCTCCTGAGCGTGTGCTGGGGGTGACGCCCGACGCCAGAGGCAGGGTGGGCTTGGGCGGGCTGCTCTCCCTGCTCTGCAGAACCAGCCCCTCAGCCCCCTGAGCATCACTGCCTTTGGCTTGGCAGCTGCTCCCAAGGAGAGCAGGGTTGGCATGGAGGCCGGCTTCCCAGCAGCTGTGCAGGTGGCAGACGCCGGAGAGGAGCGGCTGGACCTGGGGAGAACCCTGTGAGGTGACTGGAGCTCACAGGCGGGTTTGGGAACAATTGGAAGGCCACCCTCTGGGGACTCACAGATGCACCCAAGACAGGAGGTCACTGCTAAGAGGCCAGCGAACTCCAGGCCTTTTGCTTGTGTCTGTTAACGTGACAACATTCACATGCACAGGCCAGTAAGGCTGATGACATCTGGGTTATGTTGTATCAATCCATAATTGTCCGAATATATTTAGGTGTGTCCCCTCCACTCATTTTTCTGCGCACACATTTAAATAGCTGGTGTCAGACTGTCGCATGTACTCTTCCCTAACTCACTGATGCTGACATTTTTTTGGAATTTTTTTCCCCTCATGAAACCTAAGGTCTTCAGGGACAGGCCCCCAGCTCTGGTGCATTTGAGGCAGCCCTTCACATGCTTTCGACAGTAAAATATCGCTGTGGGTCATCGCCTTGTGGTCACTCGATACAGCAAAGGGGTGAGCTTGGGTCTGGGAACCCCATTTCTTCAGTGTTTGTCTTGAAGAGCGTCCCAGTCTAGATGCAAAATAAACTACACCTAGACAAAAACACCAAGTCCCTGTGGGAAATGCCCCAGTGGCGGGGGGTGGGGGGTGGGAGAAACACACAATGGTGGGAGCAGAGCGTAGTGGCCACTCCTCAGACCTAGGGCTCCCTGATAAAAGGGAGTGTCAGACATGCATCAGATAATGTGCTCGTACAGTACATCCCAGTAGCATACACGCAACTGGGAACACACTACACTGAAAAATCGCTCATCGTCTATCTGAAATTCCTACTGGACTGGGCATCCCGTGTTTTATTGCTGAATCTGGCCACCCTACTCAACACTCAAGTGGTCTTTTGAGAGACAGCATGTGAAGGAATGACGGAATGGGGGACAGGCAGCGATTAACACAGGGTTGTGAGTAAGGCATGAGACAGGCTTTCTGACCAGCGAGAACAGTGTTTTCCCCGGGTGTAGACCCGTGTAGACCATGTGCCAGACCCTCTGCGGCCGGTAGCGGGGGCCGCCCCTTCGGGAGGCAGTGTTCCTCCTGCTCCACAGGGGAGACCCCAAGGATCAAGAAGTCACATGACTCCCCAGGCTGGTGAAGACCCTAAAGCTTGTGTGACTTCAGGCCTGGGCAGAATCAGAGAGAGACTCTCTGGGCACCCAGGACACAGAGCCGGTGGGCTGTGCTGGGCAGATGAGCCGGAGTCAGTGCCTGCTACTGCTCGAGGACACCAGAGTTCTCATTCAGAGTCACGCACAGCGGCCTCCATGTTTTCTTTCTCTGCTTTCCACCTACCTCCTCCTCCTCCTCCTCCTCCTTTTTTAAACTACCAATTTGCCCGACCTCATCAGCTTAGGGGATAAAATGAGGTTGTATTACTTTTGCTGCTCAAAGTTCACAACTTGTATCTCCCCCTTTTTTCTTTAAGAGACGGGGTCTGACTGTGTTGCCCAGGCTGGTCTTAAACTCCTGGGCTCAAGCGATCCTCCCGCCTCAGCCTCCTGAGTCGCTGGGATTACAGGCGTGAGCCACCGCGCCCGGCTCCCCTCTCATTTTTAACAGAAAGAGCTTACCTTCCAGCGGTTCCTTTTCCTTCAGGGATAAGTCCAAGCACCCCAGGGGAGGGCGATCTTACTCGGCCCAAGAGGCTGGACCACTAAGGAACCCTGCGCCCTTGGCTGCAGTTGCTGCCACAGCTTGAGGCTGTCCTTGCAGCCTGGCATCTGATGGGCGTCTGTCTCTGCCAGGACCGAGGCTCACACCATCACTGCTGGCTGGGCAGTGGTGCAGAGGGGAAGAGCTGCAACCCCAGGCCGATGCAGGCCTGGGAGATGGCACCCGCACATGCACACGCGCGCACACACACACACACACACACACACACACAAAGATGTACACACATACGCAAAAAATTCAGAAGCGTTGCCGAGCACCCTCCAGGAGCCAGACACAGATCAAGTCTAGGAGGGGTCGGTACGCAGGTCTGCCCACGGCAAAGCAGACACACCATGACAGAAAACAGACCGTACACATGTATAGTGTATCAGGTCATGAGAACTGCTACAAAGGAATGCTAAAGGATGGCGAGGGGATAGGGAGTGGCCATCGAAGGCCTGGAGGCTTTGGGCAGAGACGTGACTGAAGCAAAGGAGCAAACCATGCAGTCATTTGGGGACAGAGCTTTCCAGGCGAGGGGACAGCATGTGCAAAGGTCCTCCAGGGAAGTGTGCTTGGCTTGCTGGAGGGTCAGGAAGAAGGCCCGGGGACTGCAGCAGAGTGAGCCGAGGGGAGAATGGCAGGGAATGAACACAGCGGCAGCCAGGGCCAGGTCGCGTGGCACCTTGCAGCCAGGAAACGGACTTTGGGTTTGGATTTTGTGCCAAGTGTGATGGGGAGCCCTTAGAGGGTTTTGAGCAGGGGAGTAACATGAGCTGTTTTCTGTTTAAAGCAGACTTTTCAGGTTCGTGTGGACGGTTGACTAGAGAGAGCAGAGGTGCGATAAAGGAGGCCAGCCAGGTACCCCGCTCTGGAATGTTCTGGTCAGCATTCCTGCTGTCTGGCACCGGGGCCTTTTCTGAGGACAGGCTGGTCAGGCTCATCACAGGGTCAGACATCTTGTCGCACCAACAAAGGAAAACAAAAGTGGGCGCTCCTAGCGGCTTCTGCAGGGAAGGGCCATGCTCCAGGGCCTGGACATGAGCAACCTCACCCCAGCTGCACGTTAGACCGCCTGGAGAGCCTTGCAAACGCACAAGGCCGAGCCCCTCCTCAGCCGCACTGCGTCACACCTTCTGGGGCAGGCCAGGCAATGGCGGCCGTTGGAGCTCCCCAGCTGGATCTGACACGCAGCCAGGCCCGAGCCCCCGCCTCCGGGTGTAGCGCAGACCCCTCCCCGGACCCGCAGGCCCTCGCTCCTGGGTGTTTTGCCTCCACTTTCTTCTGCGGCCTCCTCTCCCCCTGCAGGGAGGTAGGAACAGTCTGACTTTGGAGGCTGACTGGTTGCCTTAGAATCCCAGTCCTGCTCTTACGCTGTGTGGCCTTCTCGACATCTCCGAACGCCAGTTTCCCTCCCGCAAAAGCAGGTGTCCGAACTCGCCCCACGTGGGGCTGTGGGGGTTCAGTTAGGACATGTGCGAAGTAAACCCGGCGTGAAACAATCGCTCAAAACACATGAATCCCCCTAAACTCACAGGGCAGGGCCTCAGCATTTTTAAAAACTTTTAATTTGAAATAATTTAGACTTAAGGAAAACTTG